TCATGCGTTCGGACTAACCGTTAGGAATTCCTAAATGGAGTCAATTTGTGTAGTTTTCTTGATTTATTCTGCAGATATCGGTAAAATGTAGGTAAGGCTTTGGCGAAATTCGAAGGAGCAACTAATATTCTTTAACCTGGTATTTTTTTAGATTTTTTTTTTAAATTTTTTTCGTCTGTTTTTTCGAGTTTAAAAATGTGAGCTGGCTGGAGCCTTCATCCCTTGTCTATTTCTTACACTAGATACCAGCCGATACCCCCCCCCCCCCGCTCATAGAGACTGCGTATTACAGTTGATTATAATTCCTGGGTTCCCTGTGAATATACACTCCATGATGTAGTTGACACAGTCTGGCACGTAAGTGCACGTAAGTAAAATGTACTAAATATAGGGACAGACAACTACGATGTTACGAAATGAAGTCTCTTGGGATTTCAATGTGATTTCAAACGTTCCATATGAGAGACTGTGATGTTCGAATATTCCACTACAATGGATTATGTAACACATATATGAAACGTCGTACCTAAACTAGTCTATTGTGAATATATTTTTAAAAATCTGGTTACACGCGCCCGGTTGCTTACGAAATTGAACGCGTCTGTAACAGTAGTATTTAGTATTTGTACGTTAACATGTCTGCCTATATTTCGTAAGGTTGTTTAAAGATAGAATTTGACGAGTGTTATGTGCAGGGAGGTTGGGGTCTCACGTGACGAGAAGCGCCGAGTAGTTGACGGGTCAAACTGATCATTACAAAGTTCACTGAACTGATATCGTGAATATCACTGCGAAAATACTCATGCCAATTTACCAGGGATGCCGAATCCGATATTAAATAAATCCGTAAAGAAGTGATGCTGCCAGCATTGTCTATGGCAAATCATATTAAAAAACATATTGTGTTGGCAACTGTTCATAATAAATGGAACATCGCGGGTACATAATATTGCAATTAGAAGGCCATGTCGTTGTTGCGAAGCGAATTCATAGTCCAAATAAACGAGACACGTTTGCATAAAACAAATATTGACATTGGCATCCGTATGTATCAATAACAATCCAGAGACGTTTGGCCGGGACATGTGTTCTAGTCAAACACCGGTTTTGACATATATCGGTAGAAAGGAGTACATTCTGTACACTTGCCAGACACGCGGCATTCGTATAAGGGAGAATGGCGTACATTCGGAGGGGACGTAAAGATAGCGGTCTCGTGTACTGTTCCTATCCTCAGTGTACATAACAGATCCAGTTGTTCCTTTCGCAAAGAATAGCTGCCACCTGCGGGTCCGTCTTACACGTGGGTGTTTTTGGCCCTGTGGTACTATGAGCGTCAGTCAGGCGGGAGGGCGGCGAATGAACTTGTCTGCCTACTCATCTGTCGAATCGACAGGAAAATCCATGATGTATTAAAGGGCGGCAGTCGTCGTGCCGCCTCCCGTTCGATATGGGACTCATAGCGACGTATACAACGCGTGTAAAATACATTGTTTATTAACATGAAATTCGAACACGCTCTGCGCGACGACCACCGCGCTTTAATCTGATTGTACTTTATCGATAAAAATTGGCATCTGGTTTACGTCAAATTGTTCCGACGACATATTTTACGCCATTGAGACAAATTTCAAGGAAAATTAATTCTTAATTTTAAAATTAATTCTTAATTAATTTACATGAAAGTTGGTGCTATTTACAATTGGGAATGGCAAATTCGTGTATATCACTATTTCATCATCTTTACAGACATGTTTGACATATTACCACAATGAATTAATAAAAACATAACGGGCATTATTAAGACATTCAATTATATTTCATAATATACCTACATGCAATTTTATTACAATCATAGAAGATGTTTTTCTGGCTAAATTTTGAAAGATTGCGTGACGTGTATTGGTTTTATATTATTTGCTAGAGTGTTCAATAGTTCAGTGGATGTATACTTGGGACAGAAGCGATTTATTGTGTATTTAAATTTTAGATTGTAATCGTTTTGGTAGAGGCAAAATATCTGCCAATGTTGTGGGTATAACGATTATGTTTTATGACTCAAGTGTACGCAGCTGTTTAAAAAAAGCGGCGTGAATATAGAAGCAGGAATTGATTATTAATATTAAGCTTACTATTTTCATGAAGCAGTAGAGTTGGTTTAATTAACTTCGTATACGTGTTGCTCGAATACCGTCCCCATCGGCAAACCTATATGACATATGATAAGTCTACCCTCCATTCTTACTGTCATTTTTGGAATATTAATAACAAAAATGTTGTCAGTACGTTAATTAGCTTTGTACTATTAACACAATTCCTGTTGACATTAGTAAGATAATAATTATGGCCTTTGTGAATTTTGTCATTTGAAAAAAGAGACACTTCTCGTAGTTATGTATTTTTTTTAATTATTTCATATTTACACTGGCGCATATTATATATGTAGGGTCGACACCTGCGCACGCGCGGGACCCGAGTCCCAAGCGACGATAACAACACACGCTAAAAACGCAAAGGGCTCACGGGTAGACGCTTGTTTGTAAACAATGACACGCCATGGCCATCTGACGCATGCACGGGTGACGACTACCCCGCTTTAAAACATGGCGCGTCGAGGAAGAATACACAAATTATTTATCCAATACATGGCGAGCCAAAACATATTCACAAACACATCCAGGGTTCAATTCTATTGTGGCACGGCCACTCCGTGGGTCCACTCCTCCGATAAACAGATTAAGGATAAATGAACAATATTATTGTGAGCATATGTTATCAGTAGATGAAGTTCACCTCGGAGACAAGTTGATACTTCACGCCAGGAAAAAGATACATGTGTTGCCATGGTAACGCATCTGTCATTTGTCACGCTTCCAAACACAGCACTGCGATAGTGTCATTACAACCAACAGCTTAGTCACATCATGGTCACATATTGTGATCATAACATATTATAAATATAGTAAGTGTTTAAATTAACTGACAAGCCATTAGAGATCGCGTGTCCCGTAGTCGGTACGAAGTTAACGTCGCACCCCAAATACGCCTATGTTTATTTAAGGTTTTATTAGTAGAAACAAATTCCAATCCAGGCATGTACCGTATTACCTCGGGCACGCGCCCCTCCCTGGGCAAGCGCCCACCCCCCTGTTTTCACAAAAGTTACATGTTGGGGACATCCTCGGTTAAACGCCCAGGGTGATTTTTAGCCAAGAATTAGGGCAACAATAAAGTTGTATTTGTCAAAAACGAACGCGTTTGATTTATTTAAATAGTGTGTTTGTTACGGTAGTTCTTTTTTGGAGTGTGTGGTGGCCCTGAAAAGGGCCGTTTTGTTTGTGTTTTTACGTAAAAACTCATTGGAAGAGCATCGCCAGGCGATGGACGCGGGGCTCTTTGGCAACGACCAAAAACGTATCCGTGTCCAGCCATTGGTTGGCTACGTAGAGGTCAAAATACTCGTTCTATTTTTACGCGTTAAGTTTGGCTCTTCCGTTTCACCCCCTCCGGAATGTTCTACTTTCGCAGCCTAATCGCAGGTTTTGTCGAAAAAACACAAGAATTAGTGGAAATGTTTCTATTTGGGGCGGATTATTGATAGAGGATAATGTCTTTATTACAAAAATGCTGAACAACCGTGAGTTTTTGCCTTAGTTATTTTTTTATCGGCGAAAAACTGCGAACTCGGCAAATTTGGTTGCACAAATTCCCTCTATCATATACACCCAGCGACACCGATGCCAGCTGACTGTGAACGGGAGCTAGCACTTTTGAGACATTGCTACTTTCTTTCCATCCCTCATCACAGCTATGGCATTACGGTCATGTGGATTATTTTTCTGTCGTTGAAGAAAAACACATTTTGCCGACCTCAAGTCCATTACGATAACCATAATGAGGCATGCCGACGACGGGAACTTGTTGCAGCATAATTTTGTCTTGTGTGTGGGTGCGTGTTAATGAGGTCGACCAGAGTTTATTTTCAGTCTGTTTTTTATGTATCGCCATTTGGATATGTTTATGTATTCACAATAGTTTGTAAACATTTCACATCAGTAATAATTTTTTGCTTGTTTCATAACCCTGTCTGCTATTCTTCAGTAATTACGATGCGATGTATCAATACGTGCGTGAACAAAATTATGCTAATGAGGTCATCGCCTTCTTGGATTACAAGCGGTAGTTTTTCCCGGCCGTTTCGACTTGCCCTGATCACGGTTACTAAAAATGTAACCGTGCATTGATTACAATATTTACCATAGTTTGTAGTCAATTTCAGTGAGTAATACAACTTCATTCGCAGACATAATAAGTTTTATTCTTGAAATTCGGCCCTGTGTCTTAGTGTTCCCACAGATCTTGACCGAGTGCTCACGTTTATTGAAACCTCGCATAAATCAAGAAATAAGTACGTGTACAAAGTGTACGAAAGCATTCCTTTATTTGACCTTATCAT